CTCGGGTGGCGTATGCTAATTTGGGACACCCATGGCATCAAAGTGATGTGTTTCTGAATCTCAAGGGACATGTGTATCAAGCTACGGTGCGGGCTGTTTTGTTGTATAGCTGTGAGACTTGGTCTGTTGGAGCAGGGGAACTGAGACGTCTTCAGGTGTTTGACAATCGTTGTCTCAGAACCAAAGCTCATGTGGGTTGATGTCGGCGGATCCGTAACGAGGCAGTTAGAAAGCGAGTCTTCGGTTGTGTAACGGGTATTTTCATTAAAGAATGTGTCCAACACCAGAAACTGCGTTGGTTGGGACATGTGTTGCACATGCCTACCCATCGTTTACCGAAGAAAGTGCTGTGTTCCAATTCAGAGAGGTGGCCAACCCTTGATCTGCCAGAGGGGTATGAATGAGATTACGAAACTTTGAGTACCGTCGGTGCTACTCGCCTTCAAGGATGGGGACCGCATAATCCCCATTGCACCTGGTCAAGGCACTGCCAACCGACGTCAATGGCGTCCTTGCTGTCAGTTTCTATCCAGATTGCCTGAATGAGTGTCTGGACGTGCAGGCATCTAGGAATGATCGTAGTAAGGTAGCACCAAATCCATTCCTTTATTCTTTTCTTCAAAACAGAGCTTTCAAATAACTCATGTTTGAACGGCAGTGAAGCATCGGTTTTGAACACTGATGTGACGTTGTTGATGATTAGGATGATGAATCCCCAAACCTACCAAAAATTCAAACACCCGATACTAGTTACCGAAAAGCACTCATTCCCATATCAAGTTGACTTTGACGGGAGACTCAGTTAGAACCCAGGTGAGTTTGTGAAACCGAATCACCGCCGCTTCAGTGGTCTTGATAGGTGGTTTTTGTTATGACGTTTTCTTGATCTGGACAATTACCAAGGTTCTTTGCATTCAGTGTAATCCATAAAAAATGGCAAGTAGTGCAGATGGGTGGAAGTTTCGAATCAATAAGTACAAGAATGTCTTCGAGATGACCGTCATTTTCTAGCGTCACTCTAGTGGGGATAGTACTCGCACGAAAAGCTAAGCAAAGAGCTTGGATCGTCGGATTCCACTTCTGTTAGCGTTTTTCGTGTTTCTGATTAGCGACTCGACGGACGCAGTGGTGAACGAGTTTGCTCCAGTGGTCATTGCACTGGTGATTCATTCAGGTATTTTGTGCTAGTTATTTTCCCNAGAAAAAATCCACATGAAATAGGTGCGTGGTAAAATGTCATAAATACGAACGCGGTGCATTTTGAGATTCATTGGTTCTTGAAACCATTCACACACAGGCTCGTAAACAGGCTTAGCGGCCTCAGTGATCTTGTGCGCCCATTGACTGGCAGAAATACCTGCGTAAGCCGAATCGATTTTGTTGATGATGTAGAAATGCACGTGATGCGTGTGACAATGTTCCTTACCGTGAAGACAACAAACAGTTCTTGTTACGTCTTCAAGCTAGGAACGTGATCCTTTTTCCCTGGGAGCGTAATCAAAGTGAAATACATTCCTCCCCAACCATTCAGGGGACACTGTTCTTCTTCAGACTGCATTTGAAAATATTACAACAGTTCAGTCCCGTCCTCGGATCAATAAATGATGATAATTTGAAAAAAACATGCAAACTCTAGGACACACTGCAATAAAATTAATCTTGTTGGAATCTCTGCCCTTCTTATCCAACCGTGAAATGTTATCATATTCATTTGGATTGGAATCAATACTTCATCTAAAGTGGGCAGAACAACTCGGGTCTTTATCATACTTGGTCGGGACTTTGGAGCAGATTCCGAATTTAACTGAAAAGTTTTAGACGCCATGTAGAGAGTGCTTGGAATTTGTGAAATCCTAATGAACTGGATACACTCGCCAAATAATTGCTTTCTCAGTCCAAGACGGTGACCTCGTCATTCGTCTCACAGAGCAAACCACGGGAGCAGGCCAGAGTTGAGTTCGAAGCAAAATCGGTAGTCGATACGTATAACTACTTGGAAGTTGATGAAGCTTTCGTTCTCCTTTGCGTTTCTCTTTCACAGCTATCGCGGTCTCAATACTTTCGCTCTGAGGCCACATTGTGGAGAGGCAGGTCACATTCATCACCTGATATCGGGTTTTCTGCTTGCCGAAAGTATTAATCATGGCTTGCTGCTTCGCAAAGACCCAGTGCTACAATACCTATACTACTTGGCACAGGTAAGACAAGCCGCTCTTGTGAGTAATATTTTCTATCCGCACATTAAACACTAAAACGTGTCGCATGGCTATCAGGTTCCTGTTTGGTGCTGATAGACCTGTGAATGACTTTAGAGTACTTGATAAACTGTGTTAATTGATTTAACCAAAAAATAGAAATTAATTACTTTATTGTAACTG